TCTCATCACAACTCTCAAGATGCACAAGTCAAGTAGCTCTGCCAGGAAAGCCATCGTAATTCTTTATGATGACTTGCAACACAAAATTGAAGTGGACATCGCAAGCTACCTCTACAAAAAACTCATCAAAGGAAATCCACTCAACAACAAAACTGATCCACAGCGGCCAGAAATGTAAAACACTTGCACTCCCCTAAGTTGCTGCACTTGTGCCAACTCTCGACTTGGCATTCCCACTCAGCATGAAAGTACCTTTGACAACAACGCAGACTAGAAGAAAGCGGGAATGCGCAAAGAGAAGAGAGAATCTGCTCCACATATCTGACAAAGAAGACGAAGAGGAAGAAGAACAAGAGGACGAAAAAGAACTTTCACCACTGACAACAATTCCACCAGCAAAGAGAACCAAAATGACAACAAGTTCACCCCCAACAAACAAGACAACCACAAGCCAAATTGAAAGCATCATCTCCAAGGAAGAACCAGAGGAAAAGAGTTAGGAACAAAATCAAGAAGTCCATAATCACCTTGATCAATGGTGTAGCAGTTCACACCAAGAAAGAAGGGCCAGCATCCCCACCTGCAGAAGTGCCAGTTGATGACAGCACTATGCCTCAACACCGCGAGCACCACAGTAGGGAGCATCCAGACCAGGAACAATGCAGGGATCCAGAGCAGGAGGGATGACGCAAACTAGAGCTGCCACACAGGCTGCTCAGCTTGGCATTCCTCCAATTTGTCGATGAAGTCCAACACCTCCAGCCGACGCTGCAGATGCCAATCCCGGTGGACTTCGCACGACAGTTCCCCAACAAATAGATGAGCATCTTTCTACGTGACAGAGTACAGGCCATGATCAATGCAGTCATCTTCAGCCTTTGGATGCAAAGCTCAACAAGATCTAGAGTGACATCTAGCAGCTCAAAAGGAGCATTCAAGGTACGTCCTTCTAGAAGACAGTATGTATGGAGACACAATGAATCAACAATGAGCTTGCTAAAGAAAATGTGGAGCTCCGCAGTGAGATCTGCGTTCTGAAGGTGAAGCAGCCTGCAGTAAAATGAAAGTGAGCACAATGAGGAGAATGACAATGATGAAGAGTTCCATTAGCGACTCAACAAATTTAAGGTCGACTCATAGGAAATTCAGCGCCAACACAGCCAACCGACACAATGGAGCAGTAGGAGCTTGATACAAAGATTTGTTCAGTCGTGGGAGAGTGAAATACAACAGATTAAGTATGCATTCCAGGATTTTCTTGACAGTTAGGATTACAACCATGACACTCAAGATTACAATTTTGACAGTTAGGACTTAGGAAGAAGTGGCAGTTGCCACATGTAGGAGTAGTGAAGGGGGAGAGTTAGCACTCAACCCCTATCCCTATCTCTATTGTATTCTAGCATATCATCAATGCACATTCATTTGCTCAAGACTCGAAGTATTTTAGTGATGTCAAGCTTATTTTTACTCACAACCTTCTTGGGGATTGAAAGTCTTAGATTAATTTCTAATCAACTCATGTGTTCGGTAGCTTGTTCTAGGGCAAAGATCACTATAATAACATAAGATCAATGACATCAAAAGCCCTTTGTCATTCTACAACTACAGCAGTAGTTTGGCGCAGCTAGTCACCATTGCAAGCCAAACTACACCAAAGATTTTCTCCTAGTTTTCACTAGGCAAAAATGTCCTTGTAATCTTTTAGTAGATTTATGGCCTGATTGCAAAATTCACTTTGTAATTTTTGAGCAATTATAATAGTATGCAAATTATCCTTATTTACTAAATTGATTTGCTCAAATGATTAATCACAAAAAACATGCAAAACATAGTTTCTCTATTGATTCATTTTATAGGTAAGATTTTCCTTTAGGGAGAAATTTCTTATAGCCATGTTGACCTTTAATCTAGGGGCCTCTTGTCTATGTATTGAATAGAGATTGACCTCTAAAATTAGCTTAATTTCAGAGAATACTTCTAAAATTTTTTGTTTTTAGAAATCATCTAAACCTTCCTCTTAATTATAAGATTGAGTTTTGAAAGGTTTATTTTTCCTTTCCAACTATATGGTGAAAGTAATGGGTATAGATTTTTTTTGGTTGCCTTACTCTATACACAAAAAACCATTTTTTTAGTCTTGGTTTATGTAAATAATTTTTAGCCAAGGTCTGCCTAGTAGAGTTTTGTAGGTAGAATCTCATAGTGTCATTTTAAGCACAACATAATTAAATTTATACTTTAAGCTAGCCATTTCTAATAATTCCAATGGGTTTGACACTTCAATTATCAGCCATTCGTATATTAAATGGGGCTAGTTGAATTGGGCTTAGGCCTAATTCTTTACAAATACTCTCTTCTAGAATATTTATGTTTAAGCCACCATCAATAAAAGTTCTATATAATAAATTTTTGTCAATCTTTATATAGATTGTAGGAACTTCATCATCACAATCTCTTAGCTCAATTACAATAGATATAAATGGGATTAAAGTTTCTTAGGCAAGAGTTCTCTAAACAATGTAACTTTAAAGTAAAGTGTTATAGTGAGAAGTTGGCCTAGAGTGAGTGTAATTCCGGCATTTAAAATGCCTTTCCCTGCCTTTTTCCCATCCTTGTCATCTAGCTTTAGTATAAGATTTATTTATTTTTTGCAAATAGTAAATTCGTGTTAGCCTCTAAAGGCATGAGACTCTCTATGTTAAAATTACTATTTCTTAAATCGACTTGTGGTTGCAAGTCTTAGAGTTGTTGAGTGATTTCAGCATTGATATTTTCCTTTTGGTGCCTAATGAAGAGGTAAATGTTTTATTTTGTGTATCATCTAAGGAAGAACAAAAGAAGAAAGTTTAGGTGAAATGGAATTATGCCTAAGTTTAGGCATCCAAAGAAGTTTACATGTAATAATAATAATCAAATCTGGAACTTCCAATGCAAATACATATCTACATAGTACATTTTGTAACTGATTAATGTTTATGTCATAGCTTTGGGTTTTGTTCAATTATGGTTGTCATTATATTAGTGGTTTTATAGAAGTTTTAAATTCTTATAGTAATCTATAATAATTTATAGATTAAAACAAGCTATGACACAAACCCAAGTGTGTCAAATAATCCATTATTTATTTAGGATTGAATTTAATCTATCCATTCTTGTTTATAACCAAGGATTTAAACCTAATATTCCCATATCCAAAGCACTCACAATATAAGATTTGATTATTATTATTATTACATGTTTTAAATATTCAATCACCCAACTGGAATATCTAAAATGTTTTGATAGTATTAAAAAGAAAATGTTCCACCAATTTGTGGCATAATTAAGCCAACTGTGATTGCATTGGAGATCCTACTTGCTACCATAGTGAAGAATGGATTCATCCCTGATGATATGCTGAAAGCTGATATACAGGTCTATAATCCTAATGCACAAGTATTTTATAGTAATAATAAATAGGAATAGGTAAAGTTCAAGAAATGCTTCAGATCTACTTGAAAATAATGAAGAAGATGTAGATCTGGGTTTGGATCTAATACTAATTAATACTAATACTAATACTATCTGATCTAGGTTTGGATCAGCAAGACAAAGCCATTTGCTAGCCTAGATAGATTTGTGAATGTGGCTAGGCTCATACCATGTTAAGAGAGGCGTCTTATCTCCATGAGCTGCCTTGCTCTAGGAGAATCAAGAACTTTATCGAGGTGCCTTCGTTTTGGTTTCTCCACAACAGCTTCATTCCTAAGTCCTCTTTGTCTTCCAGTTGCTTGAGCATTTTCTTTTTTGTCACCTCCTCTTTTTTTAGACTTTTCTCCTCATGCAAATGCTTTTTTCTTCTTATTTCTTCTTCTTTCTTCTTTCTCTTGAGCGTCACTCTCTTTTGCCTTCAGTGCTTTCTCCTCAGCAACATGGGCTTTCTCAGCTACTTTGTTTTTTTCACTCCTCAAATGCCTCAGCTGCAAGTTGTTTCTTCAACCACTGCTCCTTTTTGTTCACGAGCCTTGACTTCTTTTTGTTGAGCTTTTGCAACTTTCTGAGGTGAGGATTTTGCCCACATTTTCTTAGAAAGACTGGTGGCAAGCATAGTGCTGGTGGAAAGACTTGATGGTGGTGAGACTGTTGGCCGACTTGGACCTGCTGGTGTTAGGATTGGTGGTAGATGTGCTGTTGAGACTTGTGGTTGACTTGGTGATGGTAATGTTGAACTTGGTGGTGACTAGTAGCGGAGTGGAAGCACAACCTCAGTTAATAATGTTTCCATGCCTGTATTTGCCATCTCTAATAGCTTCCAAATCGTCCACAATTGCAACAGGCCCAAAATTAGTGTTCATGCTGTCGACTGCAGCTCTAAATCCGACTTTTATATTTTCAGGACTTAGCACTTTCCCATTGCTATCGTACAAGATCTTGTTTGGTCACCAAAGCTCTAAAGTTATTAAGAGAGTGTTGATCTACTTCTGATAGTTTTTGAATGGCGAAAAGCAACGTCTAATGGGTGCATCTTGTGCGATGTCTGTGTAGGGAGAGTTTTGTCACTGGCGTGTGATGAGAGACTGCAGAAATGTTGTCGAATGTTGTTGAGAAGAGATTTAAACCCTGCCATGGAAGTTGTGTCCTGGTCTTTCACCACAGGTCTGCCTGGTTTTCGAAGGCTTATCAATTTGTCTGTCGTGAGTTGGACAAACTCATCAGTCAGATTACTCGCACACACGCTGGAATGATTTGATAAAGTGAAAGCTCTTGCGCCGGCCAACAATGCGCATTTCAGGCAAAGAACTATTTTATAATTACTTTTCTGTTACTAACTAAATCTTGTTGAAGAGCTAGTGAGAACAGGCATCCACAGTCTATATCGTATGCTACCTTACGAACTTCCCAAGGGTGAGGAGGTTGTGGGAGGGTGTAAGAAGGTGCAAGCAGTGGAAGTTTGCACTTGAGGCCTGACAAACAGGGGAATCACGTGTTGGCGAATCTACAACTATAGTTTCAGCTTCTTGGGGTCTAAAGAGTTTTAGCTTCCTTGTAAAAGAGCAAATTATGAGCAAAGAACAAGTTTTATAGTACATATCTACAAGCTTACATGTTTGTAACTCAATGGATGGAATTCGAATTCCTTGTGTAACTCCGAGCAAATGATTCGAGTAAAGACTGGAGCTCTCCAACGTCGGCAAAAATAGGCTGCTGGCGAGAGTAGTTTTTACACCATCGGACCCAGTGGTAGCACATCTCCCAGCCCAGCAACGACCAAAAACGCATGATAAAGTTTCGTGGAGGAAGTGTTCCCAGGAGAGGATACACATGGACTTGTGCAGCGTGTGTGTAGTTTCTGAGAGCGTCGTTTTGGAAGAGGTATGGAAACACCTGTGAAGAGAAAGAGCTTTTCAAGCGACGAGGAAAGCAAGGAATCCGAGACACACAACCTCAATGATTCGTGCACCAGGAGGAGCAAATAAGAGGTTGACGTTCTGTGAGCCGTGAGGGACAATCAAAAACTCCTCGCCGGCAACTTTGGATACCTGGGAAACAAAAGTTAACACGCCTTTGACCATCACTTGGTAGTACCTGTTCACAGAAGGAGCCAGTCCCTGCAAAGTCATTCACAGCAGGAACTTTCATAGTTCGACTTACTATGCGGACAATCTACAAGAAATCGCAGAATTTACGAGGAATGTGGTAGAATGTCGCACGTACCTCATCCTTGTTTGCTAAATGCCGCGGCCCATTGCGATCCAATACAAGAACTCTTTTTGGTACCCGGATTGCCGATACGTTCACCTATATGCATTTAAAGATTCAACACACACACCCAAGCTTAAAGAGCGAGCTTACCCACAATTGGCAGTGAGCAGTAGCCGAGAACCTTGTCCCGGAGCCACGAGTTGTGATGGTAAGAGGGAACGTAGCGAACGTCTGTTGGAGGCGAGAAGAGTATGGCATCTTGGAAACAGATGGATTCATGGTGCTGTTGCGGGAGTTGAAGATACTCCACCTTGTCCTCCATAGCCATGGCTTGCAAAAATCCCTTGGCCCAGTCGGACACGTCTGCGGGAGAAGCAAACCAGTAGAGCATGGTGCTGTTCTTGAGATGGTGGTGTGCCAGTAAGGTGGCCGGGATGAGCTTCTCGGCCTCGTGGTGAGGATTTGGCTTGTGGTAAGGGAGGAATCTCTGGTCTGCTAGCATGGACGTGCCTGTGATCCATCTTCCCGATGCCCTGCTACATTCCCCTGAAACAACTGGGAGGGTCACTCGCTCGCCCTCGAAACGCAGGATTCTCGGCAAGCCAGTCGGACGATCATCACAAACGCGCACCTAGATAAAAGAATGCAATCAAAAACATGACGATTGATCGATTTTTTACCTCGGACGCGGAGATGCAAATTCCTCGGCTGAGCCGATGGAAGCAAGTGCCCCCGCTACAAAACGCACGCCCGTCTAGGGACAGAGAGCGTGGAACAGGAGATCGCGGCGACTTAGACTGGCGCTGGAGATGTCGATTGAGATTGCTGACGAAGAGGAGAGAGAGCGAGACCCATACCAGAAGGAAAGCGGCAATTACCCTGCGCATATCCGACGATCTCATTCCATCTAAACCTAGATATGATGCCCTTGACAAATTGCCTAAATTGAGCAGGTTATTATTATGGCAATCATCTTGACCTCCATAACAACCTTTCAGCTTCTGTACCAGATCCGCCAAATCGTCCTCTTTTCAAAGGAGTTACAATCCATTGCTTTTGTATTCTCTTCACCAAAAAATGAACATGTCCAAAACTTTGCTCCATGGGGCTGTGCTGTGCTGCTCGAACAAAAGTGTATACTTACACGCGAGAAAAGGTGGCGAACCAAAAATCTCAATCTCAATCAGTATGCTAGGTGCAGTCGTCTCAGCTCGGCTTGGTACGTTGGGCTGGCATTCAGCGTTCTAAACGCGAGGTTGCGGATGTCTTCCCGAGAGCACTCCTTCGAAATGCGAATGAGCTCCCAGAGAGCGCCGCCTGCGACCAAATCTTTGGCATTCACCTCTGCGAACGACAAGTTAGAGGCTGCAATGCAAGTCGGAATGAACAAAGGACTAACCGTGTTGTGCCAGATGACATAGCGCGAGTTCTATGTGCCGCCTGATCGGAGATGCTTCATTGTTGGCATTTGCCACTATCCAAGGCAATGCTCCATCGTCAATCAGTAGAGACCGGCCGTTCCGATAGCCTGCAAAAGCTCCAGACACTTCCCATTGCACTCCAAGTCAGCATTGAGTTTACAAATGGCAAAGTCATACCTTGGGCAGCGGCTCTGGATTCGCACTTAGCAAAGTTGGCTATGCCCCTGGCAACTTGAGCGAGAACATCTGGGTGTCTCGATCTTACCATGCCAAGCAAAGCCCGGATGCCACCTTCCTCTCGCAACCTCATTTGAAGTTTATCTTCGCAAAAGAGGGGAACACGCGTAAGAACTTGCTCGAAAGAAAGAAGGCAAGTAGTTACTCACCATTCCCACACAGATTGGCTATGGCCCCTGCCACCATTCGAAGAGTTTGAGGATCATCGGCCTCATCAGACGTCTTGGCCAAGAGCCCAATGCCACCTTGCGTCATTATCAGCTCCTGATTGATCTCTGGAGCACAGTTTGGAAAGAAAATTAGAGAACCTCATCATGTGAACTACAAACTCACCATTCATTGCCAGATTTGCAATGGCACCTGCTGCCACGCGCCTGATAGTTTCGTCTTCAGAACCTCTCAAAAGCGACAGAAGAGAATGCAGCCCTCCTGCTTCAACGATCTTTTCTTGGTTCGCTTCTGTTGAATTTATTTCATCAGCTCTCCATTTGTCAAATTCGGATAAAAGAGTACGCACCTTCAGCTGCTAAGTTTGCAACTACTTTTACGGCATGTACTCGCACGTCAATGTCTTCTGACTCCAGCAACGACAGTATCTTTTGAAGTCCAACTGAATTTTTTGGAGAAGTTAGTGAAGTTCCAGAACCTCGTGAACTCACCTTGCTCAAAGAGCCTAGCGATTGTTGCCCTTTGGCCGCCGCCATTCTCACTCCTGGCACTTTGAGGCCTCAGTAAAGCGGATGGACTGTCTGCACCAGACCCTGAATCCCTTTCCGGGCTCTTTCTTGGCTGATAAAAATGTAGGCGCCCGTCAGAGACCTCTTCTGAAGTAATCGCTTATCAAAGCGTACCTCGTCAACCTCATCATTCACTTGCAGCTGCTGTTTGAGAGCCTGGATCTCCTTTTCCAGCGCGTGTCTAGCTCTGGTTTCTTCGTCCACCCTTGTTTGGAGGCTCAGTATGACTTCGTTCTGACATTGACATTAGAAACTGCAGTTAGTCGTTTCATTTCAAGCATCAGAACCAATACCTCGGATGCAACAGCAGAATTTCCAGATTTTAAAATCTTCAATTCTTGCTCGGCTTGTTCTCTCAAACGAGACTCTTTTTTAAGCAGCTGCTTCAGTTGCAAGGCCTCGTCAGGTTGTGAAGTTGAGTCCTGGACTCCACCGAGTCAGTACGACAGAAAAAACGATTAAATTCGACATCTTACATTACTTGAAGAGTCCTTTTCCAGATTATCCTTTTGAGCTCGTTCTAAGGCCAGCGTTTGCATCAGCACGGCCACTTCTTGAGTATGCTTTTGCGATAGTTCCATCAGCTCCTTTTGGTGCTTAGCTTTCTCGATCTGCATGTGTCTCTGCTCACGCAGATAATAAAGCAAGAGTCAGTAGCTAGTAGTGCACTAAAAACTAACATGCGTCCCTGAGCACTGAGCGTTGTTCTTACGTCTTTGAGCTCATGCGCGTCATGGGGGCTGTCTCTCAGCTCTTTCTCTAGTCTTTCTCTATGCGCTCGCTCCATGGTTAGTTTTTGCATGGTCTCAATATGCTCCTTATGATGCCTTATTCTCTCAGCTGACAGTGTCTATATGTGCAGCAAATCTCATTACTCTGTCAGAAGCCTTGAGATTCCTTAATCTCATTAGTAGTATGCAAATGCGATAAGGATTAGGATAAGAATTACGCACATCTAGAGACGATGCCAGCTTATTTTCAGCCTCTGCAACGCAGTGTCGTGCTTCCTCCAGCCGTTTCTCCAGCTCTTCCTCGCTGTCGAATATGGCCTTGGCCTGACGCTCATTCTCTACAATAAGTTTGTCGAGCTCAGACTCTAGGCGCCGGCAAAGGCCCTTATAGTCAAACTCCTCTTTCAACTTAACCATGTTCTCAACTTTCATGGCCTACAATACACCCGTGTAAGGAAAAAAGCCAGAAAACGATGAAGAAAGACAATAGCCTTACACGCTGTCCAAACATTATAGTACTCGCAGTTTCTCCACGATGTTGTGGAGATGGCCCAATCGTGATAATAAGGGACGTTCTAGCAGTCCCTAGAAAGCGGAACACAAGTATTTGTCAGTAGGATAGATTGCACCACCATCAGCATTACCTCCGAATGAATCTCGCAAGATTCTGGTGAGTTTTGAGTCTCTCGTTGGGACATGTGGACTGTTTTCGGCAAGCGCATTGATACATTTGCCAAGAGCAGTAAGCGATAGATTAATGGACTTTGCCTCCTCAAGAGTATGTCCCTCGCTACCTGTGCACCAGAGTGAAGCATGAAAACGCTCGAAGTTGGATTGAGATTTACCTGACTTGTATACTCGCTCCGATCCGGCAAGGTCAACAATTACCAGCTTACTTTTACGGATTGTTGGTACACGGTTCCCTTTGGCAACCTGGACGCAATTTCCATTCTCGCTCAGTACAACTACTTCCCTGTCCGGCTTGGCACGCCCTACCTTTCTTACATTTACCTGCAAGGAGCTAAGCGGTAAGAGAAACTGTAGGCTTGGCAAAGCTTACGTACCAAAAGAATTGCATGACTGCGTGATGACTCGGTATTAAGCTTTGTGTTGGCCGCAAATCTATTAGCCTCACCCACTTGTAGCAAACGAACGAAACTTCTGTGATCAATAATGGGAACCAGAGTAGCCCCAGGAAGCGTCACGTCCCCGGTCTTTGGATCTTCGACAATGGGAATGTTATCCCTTTCGGGAGCTAAAAGATCCTGCACCGTCTCCATGTACAGCTGCAGACAGAAGCCATCGAACGATGAGAAAGAAACGCAAGATTATTGAATCCAACCTGCAGGTAGGAAACGGTAACGGAGTCGTTCTCTGGAGAAATATCAGACAAAATATCCTCCATGGCCCGAACCATGATTCCTCTGTCCGCACTATCTTCCTCCCCGAGCCTTCCGAGAGTGAACGTTTTCCCAGTTCCCGTCTGCCCGTAGGCCATGACCGTTCCATTGTAGCCTTCAAGCACGCTCTGCGCAAGAGTAACAGCCAGGACTGATTGACCAGTGTTAAAACACTCGAAGGTGCCACATACCTCCACCACTGGCTTCGCCACAACCTCGTAGACACGCTTCTGGGAGGCCGTCTCTGCAAACACCTCGTCAAACTGGTAAGTTTCACAGTCCCAGTTGTTCTTCCTCAGTCGTAGTCGCTTGAGCTGCAACAAGTTGGCAACAATATAAGACTTTCCAAAGAGCACACGAGTACTACCTCGGGCTGGAGCTCCACACAGTCTCCAAAATCCGCATCCACTATGAGCTCTTCCGCATTCCTGGGACGAATGCGCACTGCCACACGCACTCTTCCCGATACTGCTCCATACCCAATGAAGAAAAAAGCGGTGTCAAAGAGACGACGAAGAAGGAAAATGGAAAAACAGAAAGTAGGCACTCACTGTGGGAATCATTTTTTTGAGAGCCAATGCTGGAGCGCCGTGCCGAGGAAGGAGAGGCCGATTTGGGGCGCAGTAGCGGGCCCCCGAGTGGCGGTGGCGGCGAAGGAACGGAGGGCTTTGCCATTGTGCCAACTGAGAAAGGCCTATCCAACCGTACTGCCCGAGAACCAACACTTAACAAATTCTTATATCCAGCATATGCCATGTGATTTCTGCCTTACCTGAGACCATCCGAAGCTCTCAGATTCCACCCATTGTCTCCTCCTCCTCCTCCTCAATCACCGCCATCGCCGCTAATCCCCTCCTTCTCGTGCTATCCCAGATCGCCTCATTCCCTTCGAAATTCCAGGCGCGGCGTCCACGAGGCAGGAGCAAATTCTAGGCGCGATCGACCGATCGAGACTGGGATCTCGCGCGATGCGGCAATGCACATAGGCGACAATCCAGAGGAGAGAAAGAGATAGACGAGATTATTGCCGTCGTCCTTGTCGTCGTCGCGTCCTCGTCGTGGCGGTGTTGCGTAGAGACTAGACTAGGTGGTAATAGTAGGGCATGGTGCTCCAATGGATTACCCCACCCCCACCTAAACGATGCCATTCCGCCATGGCTTTGCTCCTCTGATGAGATGAGAGAGCTAACCCTAAAAAATGGGCACACCGTTTGTTTAACCCACTGCCCCACATTTTGCCAAAAAAAGAAAAGGAAAACAAATACAAATTCCTTTCCCTCCACTGGCTTCGCGCGATTCGAAACCTCGTCGACTGACCACGGTAGAAAAACGTTACCCTGTTACCTTGGCTTTTTACTCTTCTACTGCTGCCTCGTTCTTCCTCGCACGAACAGCTTGTCTAGATCTTGGGTCACCACATTTCTCCTACAAAGATCCAATGCTTTCATCAAAAAATATTCCATGGTATCATCTTTGGAGCTCGCTAGATAGAAATCTATGGTGGAGTACCTTCTTTGCAGGAGCTGGGGAGGGATGAGGCGGCCACCGGCAGTGTCCGGCGGTGGCAATCCCACTGACGATCGCGAGCTGCTATGAGCAGCCTTCCTCCGCGGCGACGGCGGCCGTCTCGTCCCATTCGATTCCTGGCTGCTTCGTTTCCTCGCGCTACTGCTGCCACTGCTTGGATTTCCCCCGATTCCAGCCAGCTCTTGTGCCGCATCCGGTAGCCTCACTCGCGATTCCTCTGGCGCTGGAATTGCCGATGGCATTCTGCACGAACCCACGAATCCTCAGGGATAGGGATCGAGGAGAAGGGAATTTTCTCACGGTTGCGGTGCTGGAGGTGCCGGCTCCACGGCGTCCATGCGCTCGTCCTCCTCGTCGGACGAAGACGCGCCATAATCAACCAACGCCATAAACCCTAACGAGACCACTACCTAGGGCTCTAGGCTCTTCCTTTCGATCATGTCCAATCGCCATGACAATGCGGCTAGACGAGCTCACGGATCTCGTCAAGGGCTGCGGCGATGCCATCGAGCTCCAGCGCGTCCACGCCGCGATCTTGCGCAGCGAGCACGCCAGGAATGTGTTCTTGGGCAACATGGTGCTGCTCATGTACACGCGGCTCGGGAGCTTGGAGCAAGCCCGGCAGGCATTCGAATTGCTACTCCATCCCAATGTCTTCTCCTGGAATCTCTTGCTCCAGGCGTTCATCGAGCACGGGGAAATGGATCGATCCAAGCACACCTTCGACACGATGCCCGCCAGGAACATGGTGTCGTGGAACTGCGTGGTGGCCGGCTATGCCCACGCCGGGGATGTGGAGGCCGCCAAGGCCGTGTTTGATACCATGCCCGAGCGCGACGTCGTGGCATGGAACTCACTGCTACAGGGATTTGCCGCACGGTGTGACGTAGAGGGTGTGAGGAGAACGTTCGAGGCGCTGCCCGAGGCGGATGTGGTGTCCTGGACAAGCGTCATCGCAGCGTATGCCCTGTCAGGGCATGTGGAACAGGCAAGCGGCGCGTTCTACCGCGCGGCACACCGGAACCTTATTTCGTACACCGCGCTGCTCACCGCCCATGCCCACGTCGGTGCTGCCGATGCCGCCAAGAGGCTCTTTGATGCGATGCCCGAGTGGGACATCCGGGCTTGGAATGCACTGCTTCAAGCATTTGCCGCCAAGCCCGACGTCCGCGCGGCACTGGCGCTCTTCTACACCGCTATGCCACTGCATGACGTTGTGTCGTCCACCACCATCGTCGCGTTGTATGCCGCCAGCGGGCAGCTTGAGGCCGCCAAGTTCGTGTTTGACACCATGGCGCAGCGAAACATCGTGTCATGCAACACAATGGTGGCGGCGTATGCCGCCGGTGGACATGTGAGTGACGCCGAGAGGATCTTCCACACCGTGATGCCGCTGCACGACTCCGTGTCCTGGACTGCGATGCTTACGGCACACACCGAGGCCGGGCAACTGGAGGAGGCCAAGAACTTGTTCGATGCAATGCCTGCTCCACGGTGCGTCCAAGCTTGGAATGCGATGATCACTGCCTTTGTCGACAACATGGAGTTGAGCAGCTGCCAGTTCTTGTTCGATGCAATGCCCGAGAGAGATCTCGTGTCATGGAACGCAATGCTCGCGGGATATGCCCGGAGTGGGCGTCTAGGCTCCGCCAAGAGGGTGTTTGCGAGGATGCTGGAGCGCGACACAGTGTCGTGGAACACTGTGATTGCCGCTTTCGCAGACTCGGGGCATGGCCAAGACGCGATGCTCATGTTCTTGCGCATGCTTGTCGACGGACTCGTTCCAAACCAGATAACTTACACGAGCGTCCTCGCGGCTTGCTGCTCGTGGGACGAGAGCCGGAGCCACTTCTCGTCGATGGTTGGCGATCACGGCGTGGGGGCGGTGAGAGCTCACTACTCTTGCGTGATCGGTGTGTTGGCGTCCACGGGAGAGCTGGGAAAGGCATGGGAGCTCATCGAGTTCATGCCGTTTGTGCCCGACGCGGCCGCATGGGGAGCACTGCTGAGCGGGCACCGCGTCCATCACGAGCGCACTGGCGCGGCAGCAGCGGCAAATCGCTTTGCAGATTTGGAAGCGAGTGACTCCGCGCCATACGTACTCTTGGCCAACCTCTGAAATGCCTCGACCGGTGTCGACAAAACTTTATGCTAGCTGCTCACTCAAAGATCTCTGGCTTGCGCTCGTCCTCTTTGCCACTTTTTTCTTCTTTGGTGCAAAGGAAAAGAAAAGACGACAAAACCACTTTGTTAAAACTCTTGTCAGCGCAAGTTGGTGGCGAGCGCTCTTTTGAGCCGAGGATTGTCAGTGATGGCGACGTAAGGTCTTCCTGCGACTAGTGCGTTGCTTCCGCAGCGGCAGTGTCCTTTCTTTTCTGCATGCTCAACTCTCGGACGCTCAAAGTTTTCCAACTCCTTTCTTTTCCAGGCAAGTGATCTTCGGTTTTGGAGATATGAGTCTACGTGCTGCTTGAGCGCTTCGAAAGGATGATAGAAATAGAGCCGGCTGCACCGAGTCGGCTCACTCCCATTGGAAATATCTATCGATCCACTTACAGAAGGACGAGCTCGAGCAACGATGTTTCTAGATCGGACAAGCGCAAGGCCACTGAGTCCCGACTTTCAGGTGAAATGCAGCGTAGCGTCAGCTTGGATCCCTCGCCATCTCGCAGGTTAGTCTATCCATATACATATGTCGTACATTTCCTAAGGTGAGCTGCAGGAAGTCGAGCCCCTCCAGGAGCGACGATGTTTCTACTATGACCATTGAGTTCCTTAGAGCTCGGCTTTTGGCGGAGCGCTCGACAGCAAAATCAGCCAAGCTGAGGATAGAAGAGCTCGAAAACAAGGTAAGCTAGTAGCTATTACCAAAGCACTTGTCAAATCTAAAGTGTGCGGCAGTGCAGGTCTTACAACTAGAGCGCAGCCTGGAACTAGAGATTGAGAAGCGGAAGCATGCCGAGGCGGCATTGCAGGAATCGCTGGAGAAAATGCTCGACTCCTCGAGTGCAAGTGGCGGGACAAGCACTGACTCCGAGCTTGAGTCATTTAGCAGAGCAGCGGATGATGACGACGGCAAGTACTCGGACTCGTACTTGGAGTTAGAAGATACGAGTGGTGTGCTGAATGGCGATGGTGCCAAGTTCTCCACAGAAGATAGACCGCCAGCTGCATGCGAAGGTACGGTAAAGTTTGTAGACATTCTCGTGGTTAACTGTGGCGATACAAGGGAACGACGACGACGAAGAAGAACAACAACAACAACAACAAAGAGGAGGAGGAGAAGAAGAGGAAGGCACTGTGGAGGAATTTTCATCGGCAGTGGAGCCAAGTTCGCCGAAGACGTTAGAGACTCATCACAACATACACTCGGACTCGGACTGGGCTACGGACAACGAGACTGATGTCAAGCAGCGGAGCTTGTCAACCGCGGCTGCTCAAGGTGACACTGAGTTTGACAGTGATAGCGATGGATTTAGTATCTCGTTGCCGAGCCAGCTACACTTGGGACAACTGGAACTCCCGGGGAAGATTGGAAGGTCTCTCCGCTCGTTGAGCACGCCAAGGTAAATATATCCATGCTGAACTTTGCTGAGAAAACTGATGTTTTGAAGCACAGGACTGGAAACGAATGGATGCGCCATGTTGCTGACATGCTCGAAAAGGAAGACACAGAAAACGTTGATCAGGCTCCACAGGTCTGCTGTTGTTATTTCCTGGATGTTTTATAACCATGATCTCGATGCATCAAGTTTCAGGCTTGTAACCATACACAAGGCGAAGACGATCACGATTCTACTAGCCCCGGTGTCTCTTATGTAAGCTTTTCCAAGTACCTGGGCGTGGCCAACATAATCGAGAACGAAACAACGTCAAAGGTTGCAGCAGAAGACGAGGCAACCTCACTCCAGGCGAGCCAAGGCAAAGACACGCAAGCTCAAGAACAAGTGAATCCAGGAGACACTGGCAACGAACCTGGTCTGGTTGCAATGCAACCGGAGACAACGAGCTCCACTAAAGCGAGCGAAAACCCGGCGACAAGCAAGCTCTCGAGCATCAGCCTACGAGACAAAGTTTTCAACAGCGAGGAGGAGCGAGTGGATGAGATATTTCGCGCATTGCGAGCTGCCAAGGCACAACTCAGGATTTCAATCCAGCGAAGACAGGTGATAGAGAAGCAGCTCTTCAGTTCTAGCTAGGCTAAGACTTTTGCGGATGAGAAAGAAAGCTAGTACTTCTCTTGTGAATACACACTATAAGGGTGAAAGGTTTGATATCCTATAGTAGAAATATCTTCTAAGCTGAGTCGGCCAGGCATGGACGCAGCAGGATTGGGTGTTTCAGCACCCGCGTGTTGCTGCCGGCGACGCTCCTCGCAATTGTGTCGAGCAGCATCAAGGCAAGACGATGCAAGCACTGCGGAAGAATCAAGTGCTGGTAAGAGCCGAAGAGTGGCGGTTGTGAGCGCCATCTCCGCAATGCTAGTGCTTGGGTCCCGGAGAGCAAGAGCGGCAGTAGAGGCACCACCATCAGTATGCCGGAATTGCAATGGCTCGGGAGCAGTGCCATGTAAGTTGATAGTCCTGCCCTGCTAGTGTTGTTCCAGCCACGCATTCTTCTTTGTGACTGGATTGGATTCGCGGTGCCACAGGTGATATGTGTGGAGGGACTGGAAAGTGGAAAGCTCTCAGCAGGAAGCGAGCCAAGGACGTGTACGAGTTCACCGAGTGTCCCAATTGCTACGGTATAAGTTCTTGGATTCTCACAATCTCTGAAAGTTTTGCTTTTCTACCTGGTTTCGAGCAGGACGTGGAAAGCTGGTTTGCTCCATCTGCTTAGGCACCGGACTTGGCAACACAAAGGGCTTGCTCCGCAGGCCCGAGTCCAAAAAGCTCCTGGATCAGATGGTGAACGGCCGACTGCTGCCAGACATGTAATACTTATAGGCTCTGCTAGAGTGTAATCCAAGCTCAGATCGAAAGAAAAAGAGAAAGAAAACCAGCAATTCACTGGAAAGAAGCATGGAAAAGTGTAAAGTCTAAGCAAGGAAAGCTGCCATTGTCATTGTCATTTAGGTAGCTTTGCTCTTTGCTTACTTGACATTCTTTCCAATCCAAAACTCCAGCTTTGGTTTTCATTGCAAAGTGGAGGGAGAGAGAGAAAGTGGCTGTTCACTCATTCACTCCATATTCAGTGTGTACATGGCTATAGAAATTAAATTCAACACCATGGCTGACACTCATCAGCTTTGTGACAGGCACACACACTTTCCTCCCCTGCTGCTGCCATCTCACCTGCGAATTCACATGAATCAACCAAATTTTTCCACTACAAAGTTACTGCGTCCACCAGGTATGATATTATGTTACCAAAGGTGGAGAAGTTTGGAAGGAAGAACACCAAGAGCACCACTAGATCTCAGGAGGAAGTGATCTTACAGATCGAGAGAGGTAGTAGCATTGCATTGCATTGTTGTAGGAGGAGGAGGAGGAGGAGCAAGGATGCCTGGGATGGTCGGGCACAACCCATTCGATCCCGACTCGCGCCTCCACAAGGTGGAGAAGATCTTCAAGCTCTTCGACGCCAATGGTGACGGCTACCTCAACCGGCAGGAGATGGCGGCGCTGGTGATGGGCGTGAATCCCCGCGTCAAGTTCACGGACGCACAGATCAACGCCATCCTCAACGAGGTGTTCCGTAGCTATGGAGAGTTCATCGCGGGGGACAAGGGCCTCCGCCAGGACGGACTCCTCCGGACTTACAACGATGGCGCCGGGGACATCGACCGCGACTTCGAAGCTCTCGGCCTCACGCTGGACGACGAAGAGCAGCACACCATCGAAGATGGCGACGGCGAGGTGGACGATCCTCCTCCGCCACCACCTCCAAATCCAGTCGCAGCAACGATCGCCACCAGCGTCGACGATGGCGATCACGATGACGATCACCACGACTCCAGCGAAGGAGAGCAGCAAGAAGAAGATCATCCAGTACGATCATCGCCATGCTTGCTACCACATCGATCTCCATCGGTGACGCCCCCGAGAAGGAAAGCCTCCAACGCATCGTCGGATACATGGAGCAAGAGCAAGAAGGCCATGGCCGGGCCATGGCCGCCATCCTGGACAGCATCGCCCAACAACGGCATCGTCTACGCGGATACCTGGCACATCGTGGAAGATCTCGACACGCTGGTCCGGCGAGCCGAGGCAAAGATCGGCCCCCGCCGATCATCCGACGCCAGGAAATCCGCGCTTCTCACCGCCACCGATCTCTCCTCGTTCCAACGCTGCCTGGCGGAGCTGTGCGAGCGCGCCGACTGCTCGAGGACCCAGGACGAGGCCTTCGACGCACACATGGCCATGGGCCGGACGCTCTTCGATCACGCCTTCTTTGACGAGGCGCTGGCCCGATTCAAGCGCGCAATCGAGCTCCGCCCCACCGACGTCCGCCCCTACTTCCGGTCGGGCAACAGCCTGTGCTCCACCGCGCGCTTCCACGACGCGGTGGAATCCTACTCCCTCGCGCTCGAGGCCGCGCACAGCAATGGCCCGCTGTGGTGCGCGCTGCTGCCACAGATTCACGTCAACTTGGGCATCGCGCTCGAGGGGCAAGGGATGCTCCTGGGCGCTTGCGAGCACTACCGCGAGGCCGCCATCCTCAGCCCGGCACACTACCGCGCGCTCAAGCTCCTGGGCAGCGCACTGCTGGGCGTCGGGGAGTACCGCGCGGCGGAGAAGGCACTCCGCGAGGCCATCTCCATCAAGCCCGACTACGCCGACGCGCACTGCGACCTCGGGTCCGTGCTGCATGCCGCCGGCGACTCGGACAAGGCCGTAGCCGAGTTCCATGCCGCCATCCAGCTCCAGCCCAGCCACACTGACGCGCTCTACAACTTGGGCGGATGCCTGCGCGACAGTGGTAGCTTCTCGCAGGCGGCAGAGGCCTACTCGAGCGTCATCGCGTTGGATCCCACGCACTGGCAAGCGCATCTCAACAAGGCCGTGTCGCTGCTCGGGATGGCGGACGTAGAACACGCGGTGGAGTCCATGAAGCAGGCTTTCAAGCTGACCAACCGAGTGGAAATCTTCGACGAGATGAAACACCTGCGCTACTTGCAGAGGAACCCCGGCGAGCTCAACATCTTGATCCACAGCGGTGATGGTGGTGGTGGTGACAAGCTCCAGCAGCAGCAAGATCACAGCCCCGTCATCCAGTGCGCTCCACTCCAGCAGTCCGCCATCCCTCTCGTGGATCACTCGAGGTTCCTGAGGAGCAGCGCCAAGACCACGCCAAGCCTGCTCATGCGCTGCGCGCTGGAGATGAGAGCCTTCCAGAGGCACACCCGCTTCAACCGCTGCAACGTCTCGCTGCTCACCAAGGAGATCCTGGACGATCCCAAGCTCCCGCTATCGCAGCAGAGCACCACCTCGTCCTACAGATCCATGCGCAAGGCCGACGTCGAGAAACTCGTCCGCAACAAGCTCCTCCCCTTCCTCTCGCCGCAGACCTTCCAAGGCACCATCAAGAGCCTCAACGAGCGAGCGCTCGCCATCCTCGACAAGAAAGGAACCGGCAGAGTCGACCCGGGGATGTTCCTGGCGGTCCTGGCACCAATCTGTTCCGGAGCACTGGAGCGGCGGAAGCGCGTGGCGTTCGACTCGCTGGTGTGGAGGAGCCGGACGTCCTCCAAGAAGCTGGGAGCCGAGATAAGTCGAGCCGACGCCAAGGCCTACTTCAAGAAGCTCAAGTCCGTCTACATGCCGCTCCATGCACGTCCCACGGACGACCAGCTCTGGGAGGTTCGAGGCGAGGATGACAACACCACCCTCTCCTTCCCCGAGTTCCTGGACATGTTCGAGGAGTCGTCCGACTTGTCCTTCAGCAACATCCTCGAGACGCTGGTGAGGCTCGAGAGTCGAGACCGGAGCCGGCACAACGGGATCAACTGTTCGGTTTGCAGCTACGAGATCGTTGGCCCCCGCTTCCGAGAGGTAAGCGCCAACTTCAACCTGTGCTCCGTTTGTTACAGCGAAGGCAAAGTCCCCCCGGACATGCTCCACGAAGAGTACTTCTGCTTCAAGGAGTATGGAAGCGAGGCCGACGCCATCAAGGAGAAGCTGCTGCTCTTCGGCTCTAAAGTGCCGAAGTTCGCGTAGATTTCTTTGAAGAGAGACTATTGTCAAGCATCACCATCTATAGAAGAACGTTTATATGCACTGCCCTTCCGCTCTGGCCGCGCGCCTGGAAGATCTTACAGGACGTAAGACGCTGGCTGGTCCGTCCAGGCACCACAGACGTGTCCATTCTCGCAGACATAAGCTCGGACCACAGGCTCGCCATCGTCGTGATACTCGAGCGATCGTCTCAAGCAGAAGCTCGTCACCATATCCCACATTGATGGCGCCAAGCAAAACGCACAGCTCTCGCCAGTCTTCTTGGCCTTGAGATCTCGCAAGTTCCGACACACCTGTGACGCCTTGAAGTCCTTGAAGATCCCACGAAAGAGCTTGTACTTCCGTCGCTCCTCCGAATGGACACACCCCGGCCAGTCGCAGAGGTAGAGGCTGTCCGTCCGGAACCGGCTAGCCAGCAGCTTGTTTCCCAGCTCTCTCGAGAATGTGGGCGATCCGGAAGCTACGTGAGGCCCAGCTCCAACAAGCTTGATCCGCTTCTTCGATCGATGCTCGTCACCATTCCTGGTGTGATCGTCATCGCCACCAGCGAGCTCTCTTTCCAGCCCAAAATCCCAGCTATCTAGCAGCACCCCAGCGCTGTCGAGGCCCGGGCAGCAAACCAAGATCCTAAACAGAGTCGCCCATCCCCCGGCGGGCTCTCCCAGCTGGTCCTGGTGATCCTGGCGGGCCTGGCCGTGCTCCAGCACCTCGGGCACGATGGTGGGCAGCGCCCTCATGCACTGATTCCGCCAGCAAAAGCTCCGAATCACGTACCCAAATCGCCGGCACACGCACGCCAGCACCGCCAAATGCCGCGGATCCTCCTCCATCCGCGAGAAAATGTTGACCAGGAGATCCTCGGACAAGCGGCTCAGCAGCACGGCGGCGCCTCCTCCTCCATCGCCGCTGCCCGATGCCGCCGCCATAGCTCCGCGAGCGCGAGACCTCCTAGCCTAGCGTATAAACCCTAATCGTGGAAAGTACGTAAGTCGCTAACGAGTGGCTGTGCGATTACGTCCAAAAACTTGTCTTGAATGCCCACATGCCTCACCTTGTCCATTCTTCCACCCAGCAGCAAATGCCAGCTGGAAACGCTATGCTATTGACAGTTGAAGGATCGGCCATAGCTATCTCCTCTTCCTCCTCTTCCTCCTCTTCCTCTTCTTCTTTTATACTTTTTTTTGTTCTATCTCCAATCTCCTCCACCATGGATATCACGGCGATGATCGTCTTCCAATCGCTGCTCCTCCTCTCCATCGCTCTTCCACAATCCATCTCGCTTCCGGAAGTGGTGGTAAGTTCTCGGTTTGACGAGCACACCAATCAATCTCTCTAGCATTGCAGGATCACTCGGATGAAAGTGGTAGGCGATTGGCTATACCGTCTTCGTGGGAAGATCCAGCGCCGGACCTCACCACATTGCAGTCCCACGAGCCTGTAAGCCACAACTCGACCAGATTTGTGACGCCGGCTAGGAGGAAGCTAGGATTGTTTCGAGAATGCGCGCCCTGTAAGTGCTGTAGCGACAACACCCGGCGCTACTGCTACTACACCGCCTGCTGCTACCGGATCGATTGCTTCGCTCCCGGCCTCTCCTTCGGCCACTGCTCCTTCGTTCCAGTCACTTGCAATTGCCTCAGATGCTAGCAAACGCGAGCGACCATGGCAAATTCTTCCACAACCCGGATTTGTCAATCCTGGGCACTGTACATTTTGGTGTCTCTCTAGAGATTGATTGATAACAGTTAACAGCCAAAAGATTCACAGCACCCGATGATTATACCTTCTCGATACCTCGGCAGTAGCTCCTCTCGTAGTTCGCATTTAATCCTCGCTTGGACTGTCCCTTGATAGCATGGCACAGTATCCAGCGCGAACAAACACGGTTTCTCGAATAAAAAAGGATAAGTTACACACCAAGCTCGCAAGCTTTGGAACTTACTGCCAGGCGCAGCTCTCGATCGCGGGCGTTTCCATCGAGTGCATGCGTTTGCACCAGTGCTGGATCGCTGTGTAGGGGGGCTCGGCCTTCACTCTAGTTGCAAAGGCGCGCGTCAGCATCCCACACTTTGGATGCAGATCAAAGAGCAACGGATGCAGCTTGACACGGCCAGGGAAAGCTTGCGAGAGCTCCTCAAACGCGGCAGGGACCTGCGGCTGGAAATCGGGAGGCTCATTCGAGTAGACGAAGCCTGTCAGATCGAGCAGCCTCACGCAATCGCTGCTGCTCAGGAGCTCCCACACAAACTCGACGTCGTCGGCCTCCCAGGAGCCGCCTATCTCACTCCTGTACGCCGTCTCAATGTGCACAACCAAGGGCGCCTTCCTGTTGCTCCACTCGTCCAGGCTCAGTGCCTATAGATACCAGATCAATCATCGTCAAGGACGACTATCAATCTGCTAGAAAGTATATGCATACCTTGATGCTAGACCGAGCGATTCTCACGACCTCGAGTCCCTGGAAGAGCTCCAGAAGGGCAGCGAGGTTGAAGGAGCGAGGCTGGAAGTCATGATCCCCCACAAGCACGCTCAGATCCTTCACGCCACCCAAGATCGGCAGCAATGGCAAGACACGCTCCATCACGTTGGCGGAGTTCCGGAAGGAGTTCCCGAGCGTGATTGACCTTAGCTTGTTCGACGAGTGGCTCAAACCCGAGTATCGCACACGTCCATGCAACCACACCCACTCAACGTTCCAGGTAGACGGCCGCAGCTCCACGCACGGCATGGAGACCGAGCTGATGAAGAGCCAGCGGAGCTTGGGCATGTCAATGGCTAGAACAACGTTGGCACCACCGCCACCATCGCCACCACCGCCACCACCGCAGTCGTCTATCTCCAGGCAATCGAGGCTGTGGCTGCTGAGAGGAGAAGTACCGGGCGGGTCCGTCACGAGCGTTCCCAGCCACAAGTAGACGAGGGAGGTGCACTGGTTGAGGAGCTGCTGCATGGCAGAAACAGTGAAGCTTGTCCTCCTGATGTCGCAGAAGAGGAGATTGAGCAGCGGCGGTGGAGTCATGGTGGTGCCAACATCGGCATAGATGTGGAGGCAGCGCAGCTCCTGGCACGCCGAGACGCTGGACCAAAAGTCTTCAAACTTTAGCCTTGCTGTGCCCCAGATGCTAAGCGAGTGGACAGTTTTCCCGACCACTCCTAGCCAGCGAGTGGAGCACACATTCTTTCGGACGCGTGGGAAGCGCTTGATTTCCAAGAAGTGGAGGTTGCTACCCTGATCTGGATGGAACCAGCGGACGAGTCCCTCCTCAGCCGCAGGGCTTGACGAATCCAGGCAGAAGTGAGTGACCCGCCTCGCCAAATCCTTCCACCTCTTGCTTACCAGGGCACAGCAATGCAAGTGATGCGAGGAGAGGAGTCGAGATATGATCCGCACTAGCAACTCATCTGGGAGATCATCCAACCGCCTCCGCTGCTCCTTGATGCTGCTAGCCATCGAGTGAAGAAACCCTAGGCTGTGCGTTGCACACGTGGCAGACACGTCGATAATCACTGGAGAGGTGAGGAATGACAGCGAGCACACAAGCTTCCTCACAATGAAAACGGGCAAAAGTTTGGAGAAGTATTTGGAGGTGACTTACAATATCACGAGATTTAAAGTATTGTATTAATATTAAATTCAGAAATCTAGAACAAGGTCCTCTCTACTAGCACCTGGTGATCATTCGTTTCAAGTTTAGAGAAACAAAGAAAATACCTTGAAGATTAAGGTCTAACGCAACGAAGTCTGTGGGGCACCAAGTACCTAGCTTATGGATATTTTCTCTGGAATCATGTTGGCGAGGTAGAGTGCTACGCAGGATGTGGGCGTGGAGCGCGGGATTCCGCGCGTCGCCATACAGCCAGAAGCCGCTCCGTGGCAGCCACGTTGGCAGACACGCTAGCAATTGTAAGAACAAAAAAGTGCATTGCTTCGCTCCGATCGTGTTACAAAAGAAAGATCGAGCCTTTCTCCCGTTCATCACTCACGGTGAGTCGGTTTATTCACCTCTTCCTCGCTTCCAGCGGGCTTCTGATCGTGCTCCTTCGAATCGGTGTCTTCTTCTTCCTCCTTGGTGCCGGTGGATTCCTGGGCGATTTCCTCATCCTGCTCCTCCATCTGCTCCTCCATCGAGAAGTTGTCACCCACTCTGGCCTTTGGATCGTCAACAGGAGGGGCTGGAGGGGCTGCCTGATCGCGCTCTTCTTCTTCATCCCCCCCGTCCTCTACAAAACAAACAGCACAAATGGAAAGACTAGGAAAGCCAAGATTTCGTCTTCGTTGTCCGGATCCAGCAAGAAGTCGACTATCCCAGAGCCTTTGCTCTTCGTGGACAGGAATCGGCGATGGCGATCAAGAAGTATCGAAGAGGGTGGAGCGCCAACGTGATTGTGGGGAGCGATTGTTGCATGAGAGCCAGCGAAGACGATCCGCTTGGTAGCAGCAGCACGAGCACAACGCAGGGAGAATGTGAGCATCTTGAGAGCCATTGTGCTCGATCGATCGCAACGCAACAGAGAGAAACAAGAGGGATGAATGGCCGTGGCCAGATTTTTTTATGATGGCCACTGGCTCATTCACACGTACTAGTGCTAGAGCGTGAGATCAAAAAGGTTACGCTCATCATAATCTAGTTTTCTTGTTTTCTTTTAATAACAATAAGGTGAACCAGTGGCTCATTCACAAGTATAAAGAGATTCTTGCCAGATTTTTAGTATCACTTAATACCACTTTATTAAAAGAAAAAAGAACATTCACAAAGTACGTGTTATGTACTACTAGTGCTAGCGTGAGAGATTTGTGATAAGATTTATTGTTTTTCTTTTAATAAAGTGGTATTAAGCGATACTAAAAATCCTTGTATTTCATCCTTGATAGTCCAGAATCTTTTTATACTTGTGAATGAGCCACTACAAAGTACATGTTACGTACTACTTGTGATAAGATTTCTTGTTTTTCTTTTTAATGAAGTGGTATTAAGCGATATTAAAAATCCTTGTATTTCATCGTTGATTGTGGCCAGAATATTCTTATGAGAGATTTGTGATAAGATTTCTTGTTTTTCTTTTTGGTATTAAGCGAAACTAAAAATCCTTGTATTGATCCTTCATTGTGACCTGAACCTTTTTATATTTGCGAGTGTATTGATCCTTGATTGTGGCCTGAATCTTTTTATACTTGTGAGTGAGCCACTGGTTCATTCACAAAGTACGTGTTACGTACTACTAGTGCTAGCGTGAGAGCTTGTGATAAGATTTCTTGTTTTTCTTTTTAATAAAGTGGTATTAAGCAAAACTAAAAATATTTGTATTGATCCTTGCTTGTGGCCTGAATCTTTTTATACTTGTGAATGAGCCACTGGTTCACTCACAAAGTACGTTTGTAGGCAAAAAAGATAATCAAGAATACAGTTCCCGACGTCGAGTCTAAGTCAGGAACGCGTTCTTCACTGATGTGTCTTATCTTTCATCTCTTTGGAGGCCAGCCCAGAATGCGTGACAAGGACGATGGCAGCGTCATGACACACAAAGTTCTTGGAGCAATCGTGAGACAATACCAGCAAGCCTTCCACTCAGGCATCCTGCGATCCTAAAAGTTCTCCGAGCCTTGATAGTTTCATATGTTGTTTTCAGGTTGAAAGTTCTTAAGTTTTGTTGTCACTGCCAAGCACAGCCTTCAAATGCGAATGTTTCCATAGAATGCATGTGTTTGCACCAGTGCTGGATTGCTGTGTATGGAGGCTCCGACTTGAATCTAGCCTCCTGGGTGCGCCACAGCATCCGACACTGCGCAGGCACATCAAAGAGCAACGGATGTACCTTGATACGACCAGGAAAAGCTTGCGAGAGCACCTCAAAAGCGGCAGGAACTTGTGGCCGGAAGTCAGGAGGCTCATACCTGTAGACGAAGCCTCTCAAATCGAGCAGCCTCACGCACTCGCTGCTCCTCATGAGTTCCCACAGAAAATCTATGTCGTCGCTCTCCCAGATGCCACCACTCTCGCTCCTGAATGCTGCCTCGATGAACACCATCAAGGGCGATTGTCTGCTGCTCCACTCGTCCAGGCTCAGCGCCTGCAAAGAAAGAAAAACATAAGCGAATCAGTGACAGTGAGTTAAACACGAATCAACTTATCTTGATGCTTGTACGAGCAATTCTCAAGACCTCAAGTCCATGGAAGAGCTCTAGAAAGACTGCGAGCTTAAAGGAGCGAGGCTGGAAGTCGTGATCCCCCACAAGCAAGCTCAACTCCTTGACGCCACCCAAGCTTGGCACCAATGGCAACACACGCTCCAGCACATTGGCGGGGCTCCGGAAGGAGTTGCTGAGCGTGATCGACTTCAACTTGTTCAATGAGTGACACAGTCCCTGGTGGCGAACACGTCCATGCAACTGCACCCACTCGATGTTGCATGTCGAGGGCCGCAGCTCCACGCACGGCCCTGAGCTGACAGTGAGCCACCGGAGCTTGGGCATGTCAATGGCAATGGTGGCAGCGCCGCCACAGCGACTTCGAATCTCCAAACAGTCGAGGCTGCTGCTCTTGAGAAGCTCTACGTGTGATTCCTCCGGCACTGCCATACTCCCCAGGCAGAAGAAGATGAGCGAGGGACACTCCTCGAGGAGCTGCTGCACGGCAGAGACGTCCAAGACTGTGACGAAGATGACGCAGTAGAGCAGGTTGCGGAGAGCCATAGTTGGCGGCAACGCGGTGCCAACGTTGGCGTAGATGTGGAGGCAGCGCAGCTCGTGACATTCAGAGAGGCTGGACCAAAAGTCTTCAAACTTTTGGTTTGGCAGGCCGCGCATGCGTAGCGAGTGGAGCGTTTTCCCGAGCACCTGTAGCCAGCGAGTGGAGCTCACATTCTTGCGGTAGCAAGGGAAGCGAGTGATGTCCAGGTAGCGGAGATTGTTGCCATGATCTGGATGGAACCAGCGGATGAGTCCTTCCTCAGCGGATGAGTTTGACGAATCCAGGCAGAAGTGAGTGACACACCTTGCCAAATCCTTCCACCTCTTGCTTACCAGGGAACAGCAATGCAGGTGACGCGAGGAGAGTAGTCGTGATATGATCCGCACTAGCAACTCATCCGGGAGATCATCCAACCGCCTCCACTGCTCCTTGATGCTGCTAGCCATCGAGTGAAGAACCCTAGGCTCAATCCAGCAGATGTGGCAGCTTTAGTCTTGCCACGTCATTGCTGAGCTGGCATTTAAGAATGAATCATCATTGTGTTATTTTAATTGTTCTTTCTCACAATTACCTAATCACTGTCACCCAATCCATGGCAAGACGGACTCCACGAAAACAGCAAGCGCCTTCCGATCTACCAAAGGAACGTCCAAATGAACCTCCACATTTCGTCCTCCTGCTACACCAGCTTCTTCACTGGGAGGAGAACTCTGAAAGATACTGATACCTGAAAATAAGTAAAGATTTTGGCGGGCAAAACTGGTGACACAATCGTTGTGGTCAGCTTGGAACGCTTCCGCTCGAGTACAAGCAGACTCTCCACCCCTCGCGGCCAGTGCAGGTCTTTCAGCCAGTGATATAATTCTTCTCGATGTAGATGCCGGTGCTTGAGCACTTTCCTCCACGCTGCATCCTCCTTAATCGGAGCTCGCGCGACAATCTTGCTCAGCACCGATGGATGAAGCATCTGAGCATGCTGCAGGAGAGCCGAGGCCGGGACTGTTTCGTTGCTTGGATTTGAAGCTGCCTCTTCCTTCTGCTCGAGAAGCGAGAAGGAAAAGTTTGGGAGGAGAGCCATGACTCTCCACGAAAGCCTTCAGCCACGAGTATTGCCACGCTCTCAAAGCGTAGTAGTCGATGTCGCAAGTGGGATCGCTTAGATCGAGTGATTGCAAAACTCCATGGCTGTTCGATGGCAGCCTCGCCTTCCCAGGTGCTGCGGCCGGTTATCCTTGCACGAGTAGTCGAGCCCGGACTTTCCGGCCAGCGGATCAAACAAGGGACTCCACGCGCATTCCAGTGCGTATCTCCAGCAATGGTGGTGCTCCCCAATGTCGGCAAGGCGAGCAGCGAGTCCGAACTCTTTCTGGACCTCCAAGTCTGGAAAACAAGAACCAGCGTTGTTCTATGTCACGTAAAGAAAAAGTTCTAGCGTAGTACCTGAAAGTCGTGGCCACTTCCTTGGTATGAACAAGCTCCATCGACACACCTCCGTCCCAAGATTCACAGCACCCGACGATTATAACCTCTCGAACATATGTAACCTTAGGAACTTACTGCCAAGCGCAGCTCTCGATCGCGGGCGTTTCCATCGAGTGCATGCGTTTGCACCAGTGCTGGATCGCTGTGTAGGGGGGCTCGGCCTTCACTCTAGTTGCAAAGGCGCGCGTCAGCATCCCACACTTTGGATGCAGATCAAAGAGCAACGGATGCAGCTTGACACGGCCAGGGAAAGCTTGCGAGAGCTCCTCAAACGCGGCAGGGACCTGCGGCTGGAAATCGGGAGGCTCATTCGAGTAGACGAAGCCTGTCAGATCGAGCAGCCTCACGCAATCGCTGCTGCTCAGGAGCTCCCACACAAACTCGACGTCGTCGGCCTCCCAGGAGCCGCCTATCTCACTCCTGTACGCCGTCTCAATGTGCACAACCAAGGGCGCTTTCCTGTTGCTCCACTCGTCCAGGCTCAGTGCCTATAGATACCAGATCAATCATCGTCAAGGACGACTATCAATCTGCTAGAAAGTATATGCATACCTTGATGCTAGACCGAGCGATTCTCACGACCTCGAGTCCCTGGAAGAGCTCCAGAAGGGCAGCGAGGTTGAAGGAGCGAGGCTGGAAGTCATGATCCCCCACAAGCACGCTCAGATCCTTGACGCCACCCAAGATCTGCAGCAATGGCAAGACACGCTCCATCACGTTGGCGGGATTCTGGAAGGAGTTCCCGAGCGTGATGGATCTTAGCTTGTTCGACGAGTGGCACAGGCCCCGGTACCGCACACGTCCATGCATCCGCAGCCACTCGACATTGCATGTAGATGGCCTCAGCTCCACGCACGGCATCGACACCGAGGTGATGAAGAGCCAGCGGAGCTTAGGCATTTCAATGGCTAGAACTACGTTCGCGGTGCCACCACCACTGCAGTCGTCAATCTCCAGGCAATCGAGGCTATGGCTGCTGAGAGGATTAGTACCGGGCGCGTCCATCACAAGCGTTCCCAGCCACAAGTAGACGAGGGAGTTGCACTGGTCGAGGAGCTGCTGGACGGCAGAAACGGTGAAGTTTGTCTTCCTGATCTCGCAGAAGATGGAGTCATGGTGGTGCCAACATCGGCATAGCTGTGGAGGCAGCGCAGCTCCTGGCACGCCGAGATGCTGGACCAAAAGTCTTCAAACTTTAGTGTTGCGTGCCCCAGATGCTAAGCGAGTGGAGAGTTTTCCCGACCACTCCTAGCCAGCGAGTGGAGCACACATTCTTTCGGAGGCGCGGGAAGTGCTTGATTTCCAAGTAGCGGAGGTTGCTGCCCTGATCTGGATGGAACCAGCGAATGAACCCTTCCTCAGTAGTAGGGCTTGTTGAATCCAGGCAGAAGTGAGTAATGCGCCTTGTCAAATCCTTCCACCTCTTGCTTACCAGGGCACAACAATGCAAGTGATGCGACGAAAGGAGTTGCGATATGATTCGCACCAGCAACTGTCCAAGCACCTCTTTTCCATTGAGAGAGCCCTAGCTTGTGAACGTGGCAGCCAAGTTCTGACCACGTCGGCAACATGAAAAAGGCGGGCAGTTTGTTTGGGCCATGACCAAAATCCAAGCACCGTTGTAACGGGCTAAGGTGACGCTGGTGATAACGGTGTCCAGTTTGGTGAAGCCCTAACGGAGTGCTGACGTGGCAAGTGGGCGAGCGAGGGTTCTTGGTTGGGGAGGGAGGATGGAAGGAGAGGAGTGTGGGTGCTGAATGTGAGCGCACGGGGTGTTCTGTTATGTGTTCTAGTGGTTCAGAAGTGGATCTCTCTTGGTTTCTTTGGTTTCTTTGCTAATGTCCATGAATGGAGGCGGTCCCTGTTTTGACCGCTACACCGTGAAATGCTGCCGTAAGAATATTCGTTCTATTTGTTCTACGACCAACAAGAACACATTGCTTGATCTGAGTAACAAGAGCTGCGGTCGACAATTGAAAACGAAACATTCCTTTCCTATCTCTCGTCAGTCACGCTCAATCTCATGATCGTGAGCGCCCTCCACTTCCTCGTCCTTCTCCTCGCTCGAGTCTTCTTCCTTCTTGACGTCGCTGTCCGTGGATTCCTCTACCCCTTCTTCGAGATCCTGCTTGGGCATTTCTTCGTTTGGCAAGGGGATCGGAGGGGAGAAATTGTCCCTGACCACAGCGTCCGGATCGTCAACAGGAGCAGTGGCAGCCGGCGCTAGGTCGGGCTGTTGTCGGAGTCGTCTACAAACAAGAAAACACAAGAAAGACGCTAGATGAGGCAAGATGCAAGATGTCTCTGATACCTTCATCATCAGATCGATCAGGATCCAACAGGTAATCGAAGAAGCCCGATCCTTTTGTGGAGAAGAAGCGGCCTCTATCGAGAGCCATCGGTAGAGCTCGAGCGTGAGCGCGGAGCACGAGAGAGAGCATGCGCGAAGATCGATCGCTTCGTAGTAGCGGCACGGAGAGAGAAAGCCACAATCTTGAGATTCATTGCACCCTGCGTCCGTCGATAGATCCCTGAAGAAACACAAAAGAGAAAAAAATTGCCAGCGGCCACAAAGCTCAGTCTTCGTAATTAAACAAGCTCGTACGTGATTGTACACCGTGATCCGCTATTTGGTTTGAGCCATGGCCCATTGGCGAGAGATAAATCTGGATGTTCTTTTCACTATATATCTTCTTCATAAACAATTTCGATGATTCTGGAATAAACCAGTCGAAGATTTTATTCTTGAACAGTCTTCGTCGGCAAAGAATGTCGCCGAATCATCTTTCTTCTCATGGACCACCCTCTACTGTTAAGGTGTTTGATCACGCCTTGGAGATAGAAAGGATTGTTTTGTTTCTAGCACTGTCCAGTTTATTCTTACCACAAAGCGTTGCTTTGCAGGTGCTACACGAGCTCGATGCTGACAGGGAAGCAGCTGCATGAGATAGTCGAGATGGCGGTGAAGAGAGCCAAGCGCGGCATACAGGTAGTTCCCGAGCTTGCAGTTGGCAGTACCCGAGGTAATCAGCCAAGACTTGATCTTGTCTCATGGTTTTTTGCATTGTTGTGTCTAGCTAGGCAAATCCCGCATCTGGAATAGCAACTATAAACGAGTTTCAATCAAGAGATCTTGCAGAATTGACAGAGGTAAAATTTGTTTTGTGTGTTTGTTCTTTCATTGTTTTTCTCACTTATTTTCGCGTTCAGCTTACCAGAGAAGTGGTACATCTCTTGGAGCAAAACCAAAGCAAAGCAGTGCAAGGCAAGAGTGAAGACGATGGCTTCTCGGACTGTTGTCGCAGTTCCTTGAGTTCGGTTGTCAATACGATGGATGGATAGAGATTATGGGAAATATCCGGTGATGGCGGCCATCTCTTTCTCTCGGACAATCCTCTCGAAGCGTTTTCTGGTCACGGTGACAAATCACTCGTCACTGGCCCTGTTGTCATGGACAAAAATCGCAGGTTAATCTCAGAGCGGATTCTAGGAGCTCGGCCCATGCCTGCTCACGACAATTAAAAACCGGCTCTTAGAAAACAAGGTGCACCAACCTTTTAACGATTGGTCTGCACAATGTGGCAAATGGTCGTATAATTCTGTTAAGGATCACAGCACAACGAACCTGGCCGACTCGACTAAATCCACAAACTATCATATGGCCTTCGTTCTCTGCAGGCACCAGGCTTCAGACGCCCTGGTGGTCAGACTTTGTTGCGATTAACTGTCCAGCTGCAGCAGCCAAGGAGTTAATGCCATGGACAAGCCAACAATCAGGAAAATGAGGGAAGATAGCTGAGTACATGCACAACATTTGCAGAGCCAATTTATATCTGATTGCTTCAAGCTATGAAACAGGCGTACCTGGTTAGGCAACAAGGTAAACTCCAAGTAGAAGACCAGTATGCAAGTGGTACTATTTAAGATCGTTTGCTGATTTTGACCAATTGTTCCAATAGCTGCTATTTCAAGAGCTTCTGCAATTACAGAGTAACACATGCTACAACATACAACAGGCATGATGTCAGCTTCACAACTTACCTTATGTCTGGATGAATTTGGTGAAATGACAGGTATCAAAGACAAAGATCACTCTCTTGTTTGAAGAGATCCCAACTGTGGAGCCTTTGCACTTGGTCCAATTGCTTAACGTTTATAATTCTATGATCGACACCCAAAAGTATTAGTAATATATGAGCCTATTACACTAAAGCCATGTTTATTTACCCTTGTCTCATTAATAATTTTAGACCATCCATGTTATAGTTCTGTCTCTCAAAGACTAAATTATCATTTATGAATGGTCATCCTAGAACCACTCCTTAACATCCTTAAAATGCTTGAGACATGGGGAATAATTTTCCCCAACATCCCTTTTTCAATCCCTATCAAATCCTTCTCTATCCCCAGCTATATTTGCTAGTGTTGGCATCGAATTCATCAGCTTCAGCTCCAACTCTAGCTCTAGCTCTAACTTCAGCAATATTCAAAGTTGTACCCTTTGTTAAAAATGCATGTGATAGAGGGAGCAAAAAGTCACATGCTTTGTGCTATTATGTGACCTTTTGGAATCTTGGGTAAGAAATGTATTTCTTGTAAGCCACAAATTTTTCCCTTCCAATTTGCCAGTTTACCTCGACTATCCGTCCAACACTGCCTTGGCTTTTGCTAAGTTCCCTTGCCAAGGTTCTCGCCTATTGAATGTAGGTGGAGTCGTTTATCGGACGTGTTTCGTGGGCATTTTACTTCCTGGTCGTTGCCGAGGTTTGCATGGTACCAGCTCCTACTTGGTTTCAGCTACTCACTGCACGAGCAACAGAGTGTTAGCCATCCATCCACAGATTCCTAAATCACTCCCAATCCCCCTCCCCGGGTTAGACTGGACTTAAGGTTCGGCTACACTCCCCGCAAGCACAAGCAGCCAAGCACACCAAGCTTCCAGGTTCCTAACATCCTTTGGTACCACAAAACTTGATCATGGGACCCTCTAAATCCCAAGTCTTGAGTGCAACACTTGCTTCGGGATGCCGGGGCGAAACACCGTGGCCTAGCGGCCCGGTATGGGTACCTTTACCCCCCCACTTCCATCCCAAAGGAAGGCCCAAGCCCCTAGGAAGGGCGAGGACCAATGAGCCGCATGGTACTCAAGTGGGGCACCACTCCACATGAGCCGAGAACACTGCAGTCGGTTTCCCTTTCGGGAGTGGGAGCTGCTCTTGAGCACTTCCTTGGATGGCCCCTCCGGCACCAACCAAGTCCATGCTCACTCCCACCCAAGGCCCCTCGGTCCCAGTCCCAACCTCAAGTCAGTTTGGGAGCCCCACTGGAGAGTCCCTTCTAAATTGGTTCCTGGACCTCACTATCCCTACTATACTTTTGGAACCCCCTGCAGCCCCCCCCCCCCCCCCTTGGGAGACGCACGCTTTGGGCTTTCACCCCTTGACCTGTATTAGTATTTGGACTTAGTCTCTGGCTCGATCTCGGACCCGATTTCGGATCCGACTTCGGATTCGGTCTCGGACTCGATCTCGGACTCGATCTCGGACCCGATCTCGGACCCGACCTCGGACTCGACTTCGGACTCGGTCTCGGACCCGATTTCGGATCTCGGACTCCATCTCGAACTCGGTCTCGAACTCGGACTCGAACTCGATTCCGGACTCTATCTCGAACTCGGTCCTAGAGTCGGTCTTGGCCTCGATCTTCGACTTGGTCCCATCCAATGAACTCTTTGTCATTTTGGTCATGCTTTCGGGGTTCTTTTAGCCTACGACACCTCGGCGAGTTGATTCCTTACAACTCCACCACCCATAGAAGAAGTTCGATGCCCACATCGAACATCTCTCTTTTGATCCTACGACTTGTTGACCATGTCTCCGAGGGCATCCCCCCACTTAGCGGTGTGCCTAAGTTAGCCTCCCCGGCCAAGAGCCCATGACAACGGAATATAGGTGTCCCTATACTCCTCACCTCACCACGCCCTAGTATGGGGTCGGGACTTGAACCCAGCCTTGCTTTACTAGGGGGTTGGGACTCGAACCCAACCTCCGTAGAATACGTCTATAGATTCGACATCCCCGCAGGGAGTCGGGCGTAGCTCCCTACGCCTGGTCGACCTAGCTAACCCATGCTAATTAGCTTACCTTCGGCGCGCCTTCGGGTCCCAACATATGCCACTTGCTCAACTTTGCAATTGATATTTTTAATTGAACTTTGCATAAGTACATAGAGTTCTGCCTTGCAGAAATTCCTTCACTAGATCTCGCACGTTCACTAGGTTCTCCTCCGGTTCCCATGTTGCTTCGCAGTGTGGAAAGCCTTTCCACTTCACATGGAACTCTCTCACCTCACGTCCTTGTCGCTTGCTCTTGCGCGATGGCCTCGACCTCGTATTCCTCTTCCCCTTGGATAACCTCAGGTAAAGGTCTTACTTGGTCCTTGCGAAGCGGATCCTCAAAGTACGGCTTGAGTAAGTTCACATGGAACACTGGGTGCATCTTCCCCATCTCTCGAGGAAGTCGGAGTCGGTAAGCCACTTTACCGATTCGTGCCTCAATCTCGTAAGGCCCCG